GGGGGGGCAGAACAGAGGGGGAGGCCAGAGCCTGCCCAGCCCCCGCCTTCCAGGCTCTGCCCCCAGCATCCGGTGTCAAGGCGGAGCAGGCCAGAGGTGGGGCACCAGGCCTCAGCCTGGACGGGGCAGGGACCTGGGCCTGTGTGGGCCTCGGACCCAGCAGCCAGCAGGAGCTCCGTTCCTGGGCAGCTCGCTGGGCCCCGACTCCTGCCGCAGCCCTCCTCCTCCCGCTGATGGCACTCGCCTTTGCCCTGGCTGCTGCACCTTGTCCCAACAGGGCTGCAAACCGTGGTCCCTCCATCCCCGCCTCCGAGGCCACAGGAAGTCTGGGCATCGACACAGATGCCTCGGGGGCAACGCACAGACTCCCCAGGGTCTTTGGAGCACTGCACCTACTAGGCCGGGGGTGATAGGAAGGTGGGCTCCAGCAGACGTGGCCCCGCATCCCCCGGGGAAAGCAGAGCCCAGCGGGAAACCCCGACAGCCTCGGTGCATGCCTGGATCCAGCTGCACCTGAAGCCCAGACGTCTGCCCACAGGCTCATTCCCCGAGCTAAGCGCCTCTTCTCACATGAGCTGGTTTAAGCTTCTGCCACTTGCTCCCCCGAGTCCTAACTGATCCAATTGCATGCGCGTTGTGCCCTGTGGGGGACGTGCCCCTCGCTTAGCTCTGTCTGTGGCTCCCAGAGCCTTGGGATGGAGCCGGGTATCCCTGCCCCACCAGGGCAGTCCCAGGCTCTGCAGTGAGAGCAGTGAAGCCACCACAGGGAGCCCCCAGGGGACAGTGGGCTCTCCCGTGACATGTCCCCCGGAAGGTGGCACGGGCCTTTGCTGGAGCTGACGGTGGATCTGAGCACTGGCCCCGTGGCCAAGGCCCGCCTAGGATGGCTCCTTCTGGGAGCCACAGGAAGGCCACCTGGGCCACCTCGGTCTTTCCAAGGGTGTCCGCTCCAAGTCTGGGGGGGAGAGACTCACCCCATGAAATGCGGCTGCCCACCTCCACGTTTGCCCCTCCTCCGCCTCTCACTTGACACTTCCCGATTCCCCACCACCCCCCAGGCTTGGGTGCCCCCCATTAGGGATGCCCAGTTTGCTGCTAAAGGTGGATGACCAGGAGGGTGACAGGCTCAGAGGTCAGGTCGCGAGAGGCGTGGTTGGGGTCTTGGGGACGAAAGAGGAGCCAGGCCCTGGGAGAGAGGGGCTGCTTCCCCTGCACGGGGGAGGGGCCCAGGGACCCCTGAAGGTCCGCTGGCAGCCGAGGACAATAGCCGCACCCTCCCCAAGGCTGACGAGGCCCACCGGCTCTGGGGTCTGCGACCCTCTTCCCCCTCAGCACCCACACAGCTAGCTCCCTCACTGCCCGCCTCACTAGGGGCTCGGCTCAGACGTCACCTTCCCATTGGCCGCCCCCCATAAGGCTGTCCACCCGCTCTCCCACGCCCCTCCCAGCAGGCCTGCCCAGAGTCAGGGCAGATGCGCAGCCACTGGGCGCTGGGCGTCAGCTCAGAGGAACGAGGAGCAGGCCTCCTCAGTACCCTGACCCCGTTTTGTCACCAGCCCCTGCTCTGGAAGCCTGCGGGAACTAATTAATGCTGCTTCTGGATTACCTACATTTCGCACCTTCTCCCTCCCTTCCTGTCCTGTCCTCTGTCCTCTGGGGCTCCAGGCAGGGTCAGACTCCTGTCTCACGTACTAGAAGCAAAGACAGGGTGGCCACGTGGTGGAGAAACAGACAGTGCTCTGCAGGACATGGATGGACCCTGCGGGAGCCGCCCCCAGGGCTCAGAGACCCTTCAAAGCCAGGCTAGGAGCGGGGCCCTGCTGGGAGCAGGTCCGGTCATGTGCACAGACTGTGTGAATAATTCAGATTTAAAAAGACCTAGTTACCCATCAGACCGATTCCTGCTAAAGAGCAGATGAGGGGGTGTCTGGATTTGTGCTCCCCAGGTTTCAGTGAAGGCCTGGCGCTGAGCCAGACCCCAGGGCAGCCTCCTGCACGCGTGGGCCCCACTCTGCCCCGTAGCTGCCCGGTTGGCCTGGCCCTGGGCTGGGTGCGGCTGCCTGGGCGTGGCTGTGGACTCAGGACCCAGGGCTGACCTCTAAGCCACTTATCTCCAGGGGGAGGGCATGTGGCTGGGAAGTCAGGAGGAGCCTGGGTTCCTGGCCCACTGGGCACGAGCGCTCCCCTCTGGGACAGTGGATGCACCGTGAGCCCTGGTTTATGCTCCACAGATGAGGGGGCTGGGCGGCAGGGGGGCCGAGAACTGCAGGAGGCCTGGCCGGAAGTGCTGGGGGGTTCGGGGAGAGCAGAGTCCCCACAGCACCCTCAGAAGCACCCTCAGACCCTTGAGGTGCAAAGGGCTCTGGCTGGACCTGGCAGCTCCTGTGGTCTCCTGAGAGCTGACTGAGCCCCAGGAGAGCCCCGCTGCCCAGGAACTGGCCTGGGAGTGGGGCGGGGTCACTCGGGGCCTTCGGGTCTATGACACTCAGGGGGATGAGGCCCCAGGCTGCACAGGGGACCTGGGAATAAGGACCTAGGTCCCCTGCCCCTTATCTCCTGCCTGGCCTTTACCCCCAACCGCCCCTCCCCCCCCCGCCCACAAGCACATAGACCAGGGTGTCAGCTGGAGCCACAGGGCAAGTTCCAAGAGAGGCCCTGCCACACCCTGCAGCCCTGCAGATTAGCTGGGCATCAGGGCTGCACCCAGAGACCTTGGACGGCCAGGCGGGCAGTAGTCCCATGGCCTGGTACGTGGCCTTGCCCTATGGCCCTGGCGTAAATGACGATGAGCCCGACAGGATGATAGTGGGGACAGGGGAGCCCTGGGCCAGCCCTGCCAGTGTCCCTGTTGCCCAGTCAGGCCTGCAGCCTGGTGACTGCCATAGCCCTTGGGTGGGTTTGCAGGACTCAGGATGGTGGGGTGGGGGTTCTGAGGTCGCCCAGGCCCCCTGCCATACCCACAGCAGCACAGAGGTCTCCAGAGACCGCTCACTCCCTGCCCACTTCCTTCTGCTCTGCTGCCTGCTCTGCCTCCACGGGCATTCACATCGCCCCCCGCCCCTGTTCCCATCCCTCTCTCTCTCTGAGCACCGCGGCCTGTTTACAGCACAGAGAGGCGAGAGCGCTGAGGAGGGCAGAAGGACCTGCACTGGGGGGTGTGGGGGGCTACGGGACCCGCCGATGGCTTTAAGCAGAGGAGTGGACGGGGTGCTGGTCAGTCCCTGCTCCGCAGATCAAAGCAGATCTCCCTGCTGGGGTGAGGACTATGGTGCCCCACTGGAGGTCAGGGCCCACGTGGGGTGCAGGTGGGGTGTCGGCGATCGCGGGAGATTGGTCCCCTGGGGGTAGTTCGTGTGAGTGAACGTACACGTGTGTGCTTGCACATGCGTCCCCTAGCTCTGTCCACTGCCTACAGGCAATAGCACCCCAGTAGCTGTGAGCACACGTGGAGCCCAGCTCCTGGCTCCTAAATTCTGTGCCCATGAAGCAGAACCAGGGCTCCTTGGAGAAATGGCCAAGTTCAGGGCTGGGTGGGGAAGGCCTAGGACGAGCATGGAGCGTCCTGTGCAGGGAATTGAAGAAGGGCTCCAAGAAGGATGAGGACACGTTCGTGTGCTGGAAAGACATGTCCTCATCCAGCGATGGGAGGGGGGAGGGACGGGCTCAGCCCTCGAGTGGCGGGGAAGGTGTGGGCTCCATACTGGAGCAGGCGGCTGCCACAGACACACACACGAAGACAGAGAGGGGATGACAGAGCCCCTTGAGACTGTGGCCCTGTGTAAGGGGACAGCGGAATTGCTGGTGTGTCCTCCAGTCCTCTCCAGCCAAGCGGTGCAGCCTGGGGAAGTGGCCTGGATTTGGTCTGGAAAGGGCAGCACAGGGAGGGCAGGGGACAGGAGGCCGAGGTGGTTGGAGGGGGCTGCGGGCCCTCCTAATCAGGCAGATGCGGTGGGCTCTTACTGAACCAGGAGCCAGAAGTCAGCTAGAAAGACAAGCGGTGGGCGAAGGTTTCTGCCGGACACAGACGTTACGGGATGCGGACATCTGATCCCTCCTCCCCTCCTCCCCATCGCCCACCCAGGGGCTTCCACCTTCAGCTGCCCCTCTGGCTTGTCAGCGGCATTTGCAGGGCTTGACCATCCCTTTGACCATCCCTTCCTCCTGATGCTCTTTCCGGCAGGCACGCCTCCCCGCCCCGGTGGCCATTTCCCACAGGACAACCAGAGGTGCCACACTGCCCACACCTGCCCCAGCTCACGCGAGAGCCTCCTGGGCACGTCGGAGGCCCAGCCCTGTCTGGTCTGCTGGGCGGGGAGCAGGGGGCGTCTACCCCGCGGACAGGCAGAAGAGGCGCGCCCTGGAGGCCGACCACGTCCAGCGCGGGCCCCACTGGGCCGCTGCCTTAGACGGAGGAATCCGCCAGCAACGAGGAACCCACAGGCCTGAGGGTCAGCCGGGGCTGGGCGTGGGCGTGTGCCGGTGTGTGTGCGTGGGTCGAGCGTACAGGGTGCCAAGTGCAGGATGCAGAGTGCATTTGCGGGGTGCGGGATGCATGCGCGGGGCGGGGACGGACCTGGCTACCGCCCTGCGGCCTCCATCCACGTCTGCCTGGCTGAGAACCGAGTCGGTGGCAGTGGACAGGCCCGTGGCAGTGGACAGGCCCATGGCAGCGCGAAGCCCAGGCCGGCTCCTGGGGAGCTGAGCTCCGCGCGCACGAGCGGCGGACTAGGCCTGGGGGCTCCTCGCGGCAGCGGCGCGGCTCCTTTAAGCGGCTCGCGCACGCGCGCGGA